GAGCGGGTCCAAGTTCCTGGGCAATGCCATACTGGATGACATGTTTCCTTCTACGGAAGCCCATGAGGACATAATGCATTTACTGATTTGTAACAAATGGTTACAAAACTTTCATTATTAATAAACATTGTTGCTTTACTCATCGCCAGTGATGAAAGGCAATCTCATGATCTTATTTTGGTGGAGGTTTCACTCCCAGGGATGTCCCGTTGCGAGCAAGGAGATGGTTAGGACCCTAATCCTAACTCTGGAGACTGGAACACATGGGACTCTGGGGACTGGAGCGCATGGGACTCTGGGGACTGGAACGCATGGGACTCTTGGGACTGGAACGCATGGGACTCTTGGGACTGGAACGCATGGGACTCTTGGGACTGGAACGCATGGGACTCTTGGGACTGGGATACTGGAGACAGGAACACTGGAGACAGGGATACAGGAGACAGGGACGTAGACTCTGGAGACAGGGACGTAGACTCTGGAGACTCGGGAAAACACTGGAACTCAGGAACTTGAGACTTGAGACACAGGAAATCGGAGACTTGAGACACAGAAACTCTGGAACTTGAGACTTGAGACACAGGAACTCGGGAACTTGAGACTTGAGACACAGGAACTCGGGAACTTGAGACTTGAGACACAGGATCTCGGGAACTTGAGACTTGAGACACAGGATCTCGGGAACTTGAGACTTGAGACACAGGAACTCGGGAACTTGAGACTTGAGACACAGGATCTCGGGAACTTGAGACTTGAGACACAGGAACTCGGGAACTTGAGACTTGAGACACAGGAACTCGGGAACTTGAGACTTGAGACACAGGAACTCGGGAACTTGAGACTTGAGACACAGGATCTCGGGAACTTGAGACTTGAGACACAGGATCTCGGGAACTTGAGACTTGAGACACAGGATCTCGGGAACTTGAGACTTGAGACACAGGAACTCGGGAACTTGAGAAACAGGAACTCGGAGACTTGAGACACAGGAACTCGGGAACTTGAGACTTGAGACACAGGAACTCGGGAACTCGGAGAATTGAGACACAGGAACTCGGGAACTCGGAGACTTGAGACACAGGAACTCGGGAACTTGAGACTTGAGACACAGGAACTCGGGAACTTGAGAATTGAGACACAGGAACTCGGGAACTTGAGACACAGGAACTTGGGAACTTGAGACTTGAGACACAGGAACTCGGGAACTTGAGACTTGAGACAATGGAATTCGACAGCAGCAGGTACGGGACACTGGAACTTGACAGCAGCAGGCGCGGGACCCCGAAGAGGCTGCAGCAGGCGCGGGAGCCTGAAGAGACTGCAGCAGACGCGGGACCCTGAACAGACTGCAGCAGACGCGGGACCCTGAACAGACTGCAGCAGACGCGGGACCCTGAACAGACTGCAGCAGACGCGGGACCCTGAACAGACTGCAGCAGACGGCTCAGGAGACAAAGACACTGCAGGTGAACATTCTGCAGGCTGGAACGTAGACTCTGGAGGAGTCGACCCTTGGACTGGAGGCGTCGTCCTGGGCAGAACCTCGTGGAAAGGCTGGACCGGAGCCTCGTGAAAGGGCTGGACAGGAACCTCGTGGACGGGCTGGACCGGAGCCTCGTGGAAGGGCTGGACCGGACTGGGCGGAGCAACTTCTGGATCCATCGCCGGAACAGGGTATGGAGATGGCAGATGGAGCTCAGATGTGGGTCACAGAAAAGTTAAAGTTAAAGTCCCATTAGTTGTCACACACACTGATGTGTGTGCGAAATTTGTTCTCCGCATTTGACCCATCCCCTGGGGGAGCGGTGAGCTGCAGACACAGCCGCTCTCGGGAACTATTTGGTGGTTTAACCCCCCAATCCAACCTCTTAATGCTGAGTGTCAAGCAGGGAGGCATTGGGTCCCATTTTTTCAAAGTCTTTGGTATGACCCGACCAGGAATCAAACCCCTGATCTCCCAGTCTCAGGGCGGACACTCTACCACTAGGCTACTGAGAAAGGTAACATGGGCCAGGGGCCTTTTGGTTAGGCGGCTCAACTCTGGCCTCAGACGGATTCATGAGTCTTGGCTTGGGCTGCAGAGCAGGGGCCTCTTGGTCAGGCGGCACAACTCTGGCTATGGGTGATTTATTAAGCTTAGTCCTGGGTTGCAGAGCAGGGGCTTCTGGAATAGGTGGCACAACTGTGGCTTCAGATGGGTTCAGGTGTTCTGGGTCAGGCTGCAGAGCAGGAGCCTCTTGGTCAGGTGGCACAGCTCTGGCTTCAGACGACTGGATGAGTTCAGATTTGGGTTGCAGAGCAGGGGCATCTCGGATAGGCGGCACAACTCTGATTTCAGGAGACTGCTGGTGATGGCGGTGACGTCTGTGACGAGCACGGCTCCTCTGAGGTGCGGGGGTGACGCCAACTGGACCTGGTGGAGGTGTAACATACTAGCGACACATTTTTCATGTGTCGCTTAGCAGGAGGGACACCCGTGACTTTGTCGCTCATGTGTCATCAAAAACGAATGGAAGAGAGGTGATGTCACCTCCCATGTGTCGAGCCCATGACCCTAACCAAAACCAATGCTGATCTACTCCTAACCTGTGGTGGTTGGTGATTTTTTATTTTTATTTTTTTGCACTGGGACACAATTTAACAAGTGGTGTGCTGAAAAGAGCACGCGAGCTGAGATTTGCATGACCAGTTATGAGAAGGTGCATGTGAATAACAAGGTTTTTTAATAAATACGTACTATTATGTTTCTTTTCCATTTGCTTCCTCAAAAAATTATGGAAAAATAGCCTCATAGCTCATAATTCTAATAAGTCTGAAATTTGGTTGGCTGGGCTGATTTCAGATGTGCTATCCACATTTCACCACCAGGGGACGCCAAATCACCACTCTTATTTCATACCGACTGACTGCTAACAGCAAAATTGGTCCAAAAATCTGCTTAAAATTCATCAATAGAACAAGTTAAAATTACAAGATAAGAGCATACAAACATCAGCAATAACTAACCCACAGAGCTACAAGCCAGATCATGAAAGTAGGTCTTCAGCCTACTGATGGAGAGAGCCTGAGTGTTAGGGGCAGTGCATTCCACAGTTTCGGCCCAGCGAAAGAGAACGCCCTACCCCCTCTTGACTTCAGCCGAGCCGTGGGAGCCACAAGCAGCAGCTGGTTGTCGAAACGGAGTGTTTGAGCCGGAGCATATGGCCGAAGCCAGTCCATTCAGCACCTTAGACTAGAAGTTTAAACAAATTCTAAAATTGACAGGTTGGAGAGCAACCAAGCAAGATTGGCGTCACATGTTCATACTTTCTTGTGCCACCCAAGAATCTTGCAGCAGCATTTTGAACAAGCTGCGGTCGAGCTGCAGTACCCTTTGTCACGTCCTGAGGTGAGCCCCTCCACAGGATAACATTTCTGAGCTGATGTTGCAGGTGGGCTGTGCCGGAGAGCAGCACAGCTGCAACGGATCCCCGTCACATAGGCTGTGTATAAGGGAGGAGTGAAACAACTACTAGTCGCTGGATGATTGCTCACTTTGGGTAGCTAGTGCCTCTCTAGGACCTTTTGGAATCTAGTTGTGGTTTTTGATTCTTGTTTTTGTAACTCTCCAGTCATTCGACCACTCCAAACTCCCTCGGCCATAACCAACCTGGATTACGCCTCAGACCATGTCTCCTCTCCTCTCGGAACCGACCTGCTCTCCCGCCGATCACCTGAACCCTATAGGCCCCACACCAACTCCCGGGTCCAGCTCAGGTCCAGTACTCCACCCTCTCGCTCCCTTCTTCCCCGGTCACTGTAAAACCTGTCTTTTTGTTCATCCTGCATGATACTCACGGCTGAGAACTGAGTATTAAGACTGTTTTGTCCCCAGACGTTGCCCAGAACCACAGCCCCTTCACTGACGTTGTCAGTACACCCCAGGTTCCACCTAATTAATAAAATTTGTTTTCTTTTTCCTCATCTAGTTGACCGGTGTGTGATTCTGCATGTGCTGGGTAAGACACCTCCCTCCAAACATGACACTAGGGCTGGGCGATATGGACCTAAAGCTTATATCTCTTTCTTTTAGCTGAATTCTGATATACGATAAATGTCTCGCCTGTAAAATATTTACAACACACACACACACACACACACACACACAGCTTTCTACTTCTGTGTTTTTTCAGCAGTAGTCAGCAGCTTCTGGGTTTCAAACACTGCCACACCGCCCTTCCTTATAACGAGGAACGGTTCTGAGCTGTGTGGCTAAAATAACCAGACGTTCTGCGTTCTTCATATTGGACTACAAAAGAATCTTAGCCAGAAGGAAAAAATGGCGGATTGTCTCTGTGCTTAGCCGGATGTCCAGGACCGTTCTTGGCGGTTATCGTGACGACATAGTCACAAGATGTATTACACAAATATTAAAACTGAACAGGTGGAAAGAATGACCAAAACTATATAATAAAATATCTAAATAGCACCTCTAGTGAATTATGTAAGGTATTTTGCACACTTAGACGCTTAAAATGCGAAACACGCTGTATTAAAGGATAAAGAAGTGAGTTGTTCATGATATGTCTCCTTTAATGTGGACAAAATGTTATAATTTGCATTCAGAGACCAGCTCACCAGATCCATGGTTTTATAAAAGTGCAGAGAAATGATTTAACAGAGACAGGACAGAGAACCGCGGGATAATAAGGGAGGTGGGGGAAGAGAACAGTGTCGGCTATCTTCAACATTCAGGCATGTAAAAACAAAAAAGGTCACAAATGTGCACCCCATTGAGCCCATTCAATAACAGAGAGAGTAGGGACTGCTCATGACTGGCCTCATTCCATTACTGTTACCGTTTATACCGATACTTCTGTCACACTACTAATAAATGCAATGCACCTCTTTCACTGAACTGTGCTTTTCCTGCTTCGTCGGGTGAAAATGGCTGCTGTAAAACAGCTGTGCTGTCACTGGTACGTACAACTAGTACTTACTTGTTCTGAGTCTGGACTTACCTCCTCCACATCTACTCTGGACAGCTTGGCCAGTTCCTGAACATCACCATTCTTCGGTTTCTTCCTTTCTTTTTGTGTCCTTCCACCCTTCCCCGTGACAGCTTCTCTCACCTTTTTCTGCTCACAACACTTTTGTGCTCTGGTAGCAAAAATAATAAAAGCCTTTACTTTGCTAGCTCACACACAGTGGCATAGGGTACACAGTTTAGCTGAATTATTTATTTATCAAGCACTTTAATGCAGTGAGTGCAACACAAGGTGCTGTACGGGATTAAAAATTACCCCGCAACTGTCAACTTCCCACCACACACACACACACACACACACACACACACACTTAGGAGATTTTCATCCTGGTAAACTTTAAACCCAACAGCACCCTCAGACAGAACCTGGTCCATCCAGAAGACAAAACACCCAAACAGAAGCTCAGTGGGGTCATGTATGCAGTCCAGTGCAGTGAGGACTGTCCAGGGGTCTCATTTATCAAACATGGCGTAGAATCCTTACTAAAACCGTACTTAAGCTCAGCAAAAACAAAAATGTACTTAAGCCAAGTAGGTTTGTGATCGATCAAACATGGAGTACACACAGCTGCACGCAATCTCTGCTTCATAAATCAGAAACTATCTACAAAGGTTACAGTCAGGGTCCGAAATTAAATGTTTTACTAACCGGCCAAGTTGGCCGGTAGATGATGAAAATCTACCGACCAAGCTTATTTTTTACCGGCCAACATTCTAAATGATTTAGATCTACCTAAAGCATGTTATTCTATATTATGTTGATTCCAGAGTGACAAAATAATTAAAACACCAATTAATAAGGAAAACAACTCTTTTGTAATTTTTACTATTTATTTATTTATTTTTAGAGATGTTTTTATGAACTCTTTCATTGAAATCTAGTCAGACTCCTTGTTTTCTCTGTCCATGAAGTCTGGCCTCCTGCTTCTGACACCGTCTTTGTGCCAAAGCCTCATTTGGGTCCTAGTCCTTGATCTCTGGAGAACACAGCTGCAGCATGAGAATATCTGAAAGTGTGTCAGGGCTAGGGTTGTCACGGTAACCGGTGTAGCGGTAACCCCTGGTAAAAAAGTTGACAATAATAATAACCGTCTTGTTTTTAAAATATATATATATATTATCTCGGTGGATTACCGTGGCTGCGGTGTAGGCGCGGTGACCCTTACCAGCCACCGTATCATCTGCTGAAGTTGCCGGCGGCACATGCGCACTTTAGCACTCGGGACATTTATTATCCCTCAAAGAAGGAAGTACGGGCATGTTTTGGATATTTGAAGAATGCCGAGGGCCAGTTGTCTGTGAAAGGCAGCAACGCTACGTGGCCATCATAATGTAGCCATTGTCTCACGACTCCGCCGTCTCCGGTTCGCCACTTTTCACAAAATCTTCTGGTTTCCACTGGTCCTGGTGGTTTTTCTTCCAGTTCGACGAGTTTTCCTTTGGAAGGCTGGCTGACTCCAGTTAAAAACCGCCACATCTCACCGCTAGTTTTAACACGAAGCTAACCGCTAACTTGATAAACTGATTGAATGGGATAGGTGGAAATGACGGTGGATGCGGCGTTCACGTTTCGCGTACGTTTGTGTACGCTGCATGCAGGCGGGAGGAGTATCAGAAATCCGTGGAAGATGACTGATAAACATAACTCATTTGGTGCAAACATTTACTCGCCATGAGGCAGATAGAGCTCAAAAATTTACTCACCAAATGGAGCAATTTGCTCGCATTTGGCGAGTGGCGAGTGTTGATTTCGGACCCTGTTTTCAGGTGTTTCTGGATCACAGCCCGCCCTCAACATTTGACTAGTGGTGGACTAGTATGTTACACCACCTCAAAGTTCTAGTCAAGCTCGTCCTCGTATTTCTTGCTCATCATGGAGAGCAAGCGGCCCTGACCCACACACATGAAATCTTCCTCTGGCTCTGCGTCGTCCATCTCAGCAGCAGTGGAAGTCTTTCCATCCATGAAATCAAGACGCCTTCGCCGTTGGACATCATGAAACCATACGTTTATGGCTGGCTTCGGGTCGAAGTGTTTAATGTCTGCCGACATTAACCGCACCGACACGAGCTCGCCCACACTCTTCTCTGACAGGCTGGACCGCCAGTCACTCTTTATCATTTTCATGTGGTTGAAACCTTTCACATTCAGCTGTAGACGCAGGCAGGGCCGTGCGCAGTGGAATCGAAAACGGCGGCTTCCTACAGGGCGCGGCCATGATGTATCCCAACACTACTACGCGCGGCCACAGGGGGAGGTAAATGACAAAGCTTGGGCGCCACCCGGGCGCTAAGTCGTCAATTATTTACCGCCCGACAAGAAAATTTAGCGCCATTGGCGCTTTAAAGGTCCACCCCTGAACTAGTCCCTCCATCTCTCAGTCACTGGAGGTTCTTTTTCTTTAGCTCTCTTGGTCATGTTTTCCAGGTTTGCTGAGGACGCGGTGTGACCAAATATGGTTAATTTGAGGGTGTTTCTGTATGTACGTGACTGAAGGGACAACAGCACCTGGGTACAACCAGGTGGGATTTATCAACAGGTGATTGCAGAGGAGCATGCGTATGAGTGGCCACTGCATTTTTAATCAATCAGGATTTTGGCCGCTTGTACGAACATTCTAAATTTCATTAGTAGGTTGGAAAAGAGGCCAGTTTCTACAAACATTTGATAGACGAGGAACCAGGTTCCTACAGTTCCAAATTAAGCCTCCTCACCTGAAATATTCCTCCAGCTCAATGACCGCCAGGCTGAAGATCTTTGAGGGGTGGTGCTTCTGAAGCTGCTGGACCCAAGATGCCAGCGTTGGTCCGCAGTCTGACCTGCCATGCCTCACCTCCTGAGTTGCACAGCAGGAGTGCAAATTCATTTGGAAGAAGTTTGCACTCTCAGAAGCATACAGTAAAAATAAAATATACATACAATGTTTTATTATTGGCAAACACTGCTTTACATCAGGTAGAGTAAAACCCCAGACTGAGAAGATCTGTCATGTTCTTCTACAGACCCTTATGGTGCTTTCACATCTGGGTCTGCACAGAGCCGCCGTGGTAGGGTGTACGGCGGTCACATCTGGATAGCCTGTGTGGTTGGTAGTTTGGCCCGTGAGTGGCTTGATAAAAAGTTTTATTGGAATTTCCTCCGTAAAAGACCACAAAATACGGATGAGATGTTAGAAAGTGGCCCAGACTCTCTGAAAAAAGCCTGGACTCCTGCAGCAGCAGACAGTTGAGGCTCATTTAGTTCAGAGTAAGTCCTTGTGACCTTTTGTTAATCATGTTCTTCTGATTCTGGTATCTGAATCAGACATCATTGTGAGTGTGTGCGAGGATCTCTCTGCTTTCTTTGGCCGTCACCCACAGCTGTTGTAACGCGGTGGCTCTGCTCGTCTGAGCTAACTGCTGCTATTAGCACGACCACGGCGTTCTGATTTCAGAAGTGATCGGCTCAACGTTCCTTAAAGCAAGATAATGGTAGGGCTCCAGACGTTTGAAAGCCTTTACTTTTTCATGAGTGAAGGGTGCAGGGCTGTATGTTGAATAGGAATAAATGTCTCCCCAATAGGATAACACGGCGGTGAACGGTTGGAATTAAAATGACGACTTTTGTGTTGGTGTCCTGTTACCTGGCTATTAACTGTTAAGGGCGTCAGTGGCCGGTTAAAGAAATGTTGGTAAATCCCTATCAAACGGCGTAAAAGACGGTGCTTTTGACTGAACAAAATTCCACCTTTTTTTCGGCGTTCTGCGACTTTTCCATAAAAAACACCATTTTGATTTGGATTATGCAGGCCACTGCCAAAGGTGTGAAAAAAAAAGAAAGTTATTAAAATTCAACATGAGCTTTGGGATTCGCTGGATGGAGACAGGGTTCTTGCCCTCCAACTTGAGTGGATGTGCGCAGTAATCCAAATGTAAACAATAACATGTATACTTGATTTGTTTTTGTAAATTATGGAATAAATCAGGAAATCTTCTAGAAAGAGGAAATTTCCATCAAGATTTGTTGATGAGGCGCAAGATGGGCCCTAAATTGTTTTTCCATCACCAATGCAGTAAGTTTGACTCTGCACTAATTGTCTTACAAGCTACGTTCCACAGTTTATGTTAGTAGTACTAGTATTATTATACAGGTCCTTCTCAAAAAATTAGCATATTGTGATAAAGTTCACTTGTGCCTCCAAGTCTCAAGGAGTGTCTCTCCCTTGAGGAGCAGACGGAGAAGTAGAAATTAGACTTCACTCGTGAACAAGACCTTGAGATATGCAAACTGCTCCACCTGAGGCAGGACTTATCCCTGACCCCGAGAAGGCATTCTACCCTTTCCGGCTCAAGACCATGGTCTCGGATTTAGAGGAGCTGATTCGCATCCCAGTTGCTTCACACTCGGCTGTGAACCGCTCCAGTGAGAGCCGGAGATCACGTTCTGATAAAGCCAACAGGACCACATCATCTGCAAAGAGCAGAGACTCACTCCTTAGGCCACCAAAACAGATCCCTTCAACCCCTTGGCTGTGCCTAGAAATTCTGTCCATAAAAGTTATGAACAGAATCGGTGACAAAGGGTAGCCTTGACGGAGTCCAACACTCACTGCAAACGAGCTCGACTTACTGCCGGGAATGTGGACCAAGCTCTGACACCGGTCATACAGGGACCTAACAGCCCGTATCAAAGGGCCTGGTACCCCATACTCCCAAAGAACACCCCCCCCCACAGGGCCCCCTGAGGGAAGCGGTCGAATGCTTTCTCCAAATCCACAAAACACATGTAGACTGGTTGGGCAAACTCCCACGCACCCTCCAGGACCCCCCTAAGGGTAGTGAGCTGGTCCTACGTTCCACGAAAACCACATTGTTCCTCCTGAATCCGAGGATCAACAATCCGCCAGACCCTCCTCTCCAGAACTATGAAATAGACCTCACCAGGGAGGCTCAGGAGGGCGATCCCCCTGTAGTTGGAACCCACTCTCTGGTCCCCCTTTTTAAAAAGGGGAACCACCACCCCAGTCTACCAGTACAGTGGAACTGCCCTGATGTCCACGCAATATTGCGTCAGCCAATACAACCCTATAACATCCAGAGCCCTATGGAACTCCGGGTGGATTTCGCCCGCCACCGGAGCCTTGCCCCACGGAGCGTTTTGACCACCTAAGTGACCTCAGAATCATAGATTGGAGAGCTCTTCCTAAAGGCCCCAGACTCCGCTTCCTCACTGGAAGTTGTGCCGGTGGGATTGAGACGGTCTTCAAATCTTTCTGCACACTGATCTGCAACATCCCAAGTCTAGGTCAGCAGCACACCATCCACACAATAAACAGTGAGACACCGGATGGTGAGCCAGAATTTCCTTGAAGCATACGGAAGTCTTTCTCCATGGCCTCACCGAACTCCTCCCAGGCCCTGGTTTTTGCCCTTTTAATTGTCTGTACATGTTTGTTACTTAGGTCTAAATCATTACCATCATGTCAGGAAGAGCTGTAAGAGAATCCCACACCCCACCAGTTATTCTGCACCAGCAGTCCGACTCACCTGTATGTAGTTGTTAATGAGAGTGATGAAGTCCTTTACTGTTATCTGCATCACCACTTGAGCCTCTGGTACACACACAGAATCCTCCAAATGACAAAGAGGTGATACGTCTGGAGTTTAACTAGCCGTCACAAGGTGAGCTGGTTTTTACAGCATGCATTCTGTACCTGTGCACAAGCAGCTCTCCTACTCCAGCTAACACTGAGTGGGAAAGGCTGTTTCTCAATGGCACAGCTACAACCCAAAGCCTGCAGTGAAGCCAGTAGGGTCGCCCCTCCCTCCAGCTGCAGGTGAGCTGTAAACACACACAAAGCATTGTTAGCTCACTGTCACACACCTTTAGCCCTCTGAAAGCTCACTTTTAGCTTCCTTGATTTGGTTTTTTCACTTGTCTTTTTCTTCATATAAGAATTGCGGCAGGTAATTGCCCACATTGTTCACATGTCGGGTCTGGCACAATTTTAGAGTCTGTCTATGGACCAATGGGTTAGGGTTAAATGGTGCACCACTCTGAACTGGATAACACCATGCTCCAGCCAAAGGACTCAGTTTTGCCATTTCTCCACAACACATCCCAACAGAAGGTTTCATCACTGCCACAGAATCCGCCTTAATGAAAAACAACCTGAGGGGAGCAGAAGCTGAAGAACTGAAGATCAAGGCTACAGCAGCAGCTGTAGGAAGGGTTTCTGCAGACCTGGGTCCCGAGAGCCTTGGAAAGGACAACTGAACCCCGGCTCTAGGGTTCATGGAGGGCATGAAGAGAACATGGGTGGCCTGAAATCTCTCACACTCATCCACCATGTGTGGGTAGATTTTAGACATTTGGATAATGAACTCTATATAAAACCTTGCAGTGAATAAGTTGTAACCTAGCACATGGACGACTTCCGGTTCAGAACAAGATGATGTAGGTTGCATCAATTGTCGCTCCTACAGAGTCGGAGTATGATTTGATGTTTTGTAGTTGCTCTGAGTGTTTTTTGCGCTTCTGGAATGTATTTGACTCTACTTCGGACGTTAATGTTGCAAAAAGCTGGTAAAAATGCTGTTGTTTCTATTTAGTATTGAATTTCTATACAGTTCACTATGTGGTCTGCTACATCAACTGCATCCCCACTTTGTGGTGTGACCACACCCGACCTGGACTAACCGGCATGCCGTCTGCTGAAATGGACTGTTCCATGAAGGCTGAACTCCTATCTGAGAATCATGAGGAAATTTCAATAATTTTCAGAAGGGAGCTGAAAGCTGACCTGTCCTCTGATGTTTCAGCCACGTGGGCGGACTTCACGGCACTTAAAAGCACGGTAACAGAAATAGAGTGGTCTCTTTCCACATGCACAGGTGATATTGTTCACCTCCGAGCTAAAATGGATACCATGTCAAAAGAGATGGCTGCTTAGCAGAACACGTGTGAGGATTTAGAATCCAGGTCCTGCCGCAATAGCATCGTTGGGGTGCTGGAGGGCAACGCTTTATCTGCTGCGGATGTGTCTGCACTCCTCATGGAGGCATTTCAGGCCGAGAAGGAACTGTTAGTGGACAGATTTCATTGGTCCTTGGCTCCCAGCCTGCCGCCAGGAGACGCCCCTGCATCCTGATCGTCAGGTTACACTACCATGTGGACAACTGCCCAGACTCTTCAGAAGGCCGGGGAGCTGTGACAAATATGGACACGCAATAGGGTCATCTCTGTCTTCCCTGATCATACCACCAAGGTAGTCCGGGCTCATGCAGCTTTCAACGACATTCGGCGCCAACTTGGGAGCATTGAAGGAGCTTGGTTTTGTGTCTTTCATCCGGCTAAGCTTTGCATCACGTACCAAGGAGTGCAACGTGATTTCATCTCACCAAAGGACGCTGAGATCTGAAATAAAGGTGCAGTTGGTGTACGTGTTTATTCTTCTTCTTTTATCTGGAGCCAAAGTGGACCAAATATTGTGGTGAGGTAAATTTATTGTATTTGTTTTCGAGGACTATTTAGCCCTGTTTGGCTTATCCAGAAACAGTTGGTTGGGGATGGTCTTTTCCGTTGTCGGAAGTGTCTTCTTTTGATTTGCTCCATAGCACTGCAGCGTTAGCGGGGGTAAGTGTTTGCTGTTCTGGTGTTTTTTTCTTCATAGGTGCCCGACGGTTGTTTTTGAGTTGTTGGTTTGTTTTGTATTTGTGTGTGATTGCGCACCCTTTTTGGGGGGGTGTGGGGGGTGTGGGGGGGGGGGGGGGGGGGTTGGGTGATTTGGTTATTTTTGTCCTTTCATTTTTGTTTACTTGTCATGGCTAATACTTTGGATCAATTGTAAGTGTAGATACACTAAGTTAAAATCTGTACATGTCAGAGGTAGCTCAACTGGATGCGGGTTCAAATGCAGGCTGGAATAGACGAGATTCTGTCTCCGATGGCATGCGGAAATACTTTTTTTATTCCAGTAATGATATATTATTAACATGAATACAGAAATAAAAAGCCTAAATTTGAATTATTAAACGTAGAGACGCGCTGAAAGATGATGATGTCACAACCAGAAAAGACGTCGGTTCAACTTTCATTTTGGAACTATTTTCAACCATGACAGACAACGGTCAATAAACATCCGAATGTTTGCTGGGTAGGGTGTCCCGATTCACGAGTGTGTATTGACGCAGATTTGGGTGAAGGGTATTACCCACAATCCATTGGAGCGGGAGAAAAGGCTCAAGTGCGACGGTGGCACAGGAGTTAAGTGCTCGCCCCGTAATCGGAAGGTTGCAGGTTCGAGGCCCGCTCAGTCTGTCGTTGTGTCTTTGGGCAAGACACTTAACCCACATTGCCTGCTGGTGGTGGTCGGAGGGACCGGTGGCGCCAGTGCTCGGCAGCCTCGCCTCTGTCAGTGTGCCCCAGGGCAGCTGTGGCTACATTGTAGCTCATCACCACCAGTGTGTGAATGTGTGTGTGAATGGGTGAATGACTGGTTGTGTTGTAAAGCGCCTTGGGGGGTTCCAGGACTCTAGATGGTGCTATATCAAATACAGGCCTTTTACCATTTTTCTGAAAATATGTATTTTCAAATGAAAATAGTTCCTTTTAGAATGATTAATTGATGCTCTGAATGTTTTAGACAAAGAACGTAAATGTATTTCAAATTGTTTGGTTGTTTGTTTTAAAGTTGTTAATAAAGGTTTTTTTTAAAGTTGCACAATGACCAGCACAGGTCACTTCCAGACCACGGGTCCCCAGAAGAGTGAAAAAATGAATGCAAGTCAACGAAGTTAAAAACGCTATTTTCTAATCCGCTTTGCCTTACGCCCTCGATCGCACGTGATGTTGTCCTGCAGTTTAAATGAAAAGTAATCACGGGTGTTTCGAACACGCCAGTCACGTACTTTGAGATTTATTAGCTTGTAAAAGTTTGTAATTAGAATAACTACAAACTAGAAATCGGCACGTCACCACATAATCTCCTCACCCCTAGCGTAGCTGCTACTTACGCTATTTTCTAATCCCGCTTGTTATGTGCCATGGATTTCACATATGATGTCCGTGAATTTTAATTGATACCAAGAACGCGCTTATTTTTGAATGGGGGAAACACTATTTTGGGTTTTGTGTGAAAATAAGCCCAGGACTACAAATGCGCTTCACGAAAGTGACGTCATCGAACCGGACACGGAGAAAACAGGGAAAATGGCTGTAAGTTCAGCAAACTTCCCACAGAAGGAAAGAACCACCATAAATCTGGTCATGTGGTAAGTAGCAGCTACGCTAGGAGGGAGGAGATTATGTGGTGACGTCACATATGCGACGTACCGCTTTCTAGTTTGTAGTCATGCTAATTACAAACTTTTAAAAGCTGCTAAATCTCAAGGTACGTGAGTGGCGTGGTCGAAGCACCCATCACTACTTTTCATTTAAATTGCAGTACAACACGTGTGTGATCCAGGGCGTGAGGCAAAGCGGATTAGAAAAGTGTTTTTAGCCCCGTTGACTTGCATTCATTTTTTCGTTCTTCCGGGGACCCGTGATGCGGAAGCTCCCTGTACCGGCAGCTTTGTGGTTGACGACGCAATGCTCACCATCCCAACACTGCAATTATTTGCACACTTGTGCACTCGACGCCTTACTTCCTCCAAGTACACTTCACAGAAATGCGAGTATTGGGATTGTCAGCTGGTGCAGGAGCGGCTACCATTTTTGTCCCCGTCTCTCTCGGTGCATCTCCTTCGTGCTGTCACGTCACGTTCATAAACTTTATGGAACGTTTCCAAAATTTAGACAAAACATTTAAAACCAAGTAAAACTGAACATTCCACCATGGGCCTGTTTTATACATTAAATTACTTTTATTGGTCTTTTTCTTAATCATTGTCTCCTAAGGAGGGCACTGCTTTTTTCATGACTGTACTGAAATACCGCCTGCATCCAATTCAATTCCATTCAATTCAAAGATACTTTATTAATCCCAGAGGGAAATTAAGAGTATACGGTATTAGCGCGATACTGCCCAAGCCTGTAACGAGTTACTAAAATAACGAACTATGTTAGCGATTTTTAACGCTGTTTTTGCCGTCAATGCTGATAGATGACCTTCAGTAGCACATACTTGACTCCTTTTAGAGCACACTGCATCATTTGATATAGAGATTGTTGTTTCACCTGGATCAACAGCTACTACCATATGCTTGATACGTTCTTCTGGCCTCAGGGCCTTGGCAGCTTCAGCCAGAGCTTTCTTCTCCTGATCCTGCTGCCGTCTCTCTCTGGCTCTCCGCATCCCATCCATCTCTCTGGAAGCCCCCACGTTCTCCACAGTGCTCTTGGTTATGTTCTGTTTGCCAGGATTGGTGTCTTTGTTCTCTGGGACAGAGACAAGAGTAACAAAGACATCCTCACAATCCTGTCGTGCTTCTGTTGCAACTCGATCCAAGCTGGGAGGCTGAGCAGGACCAGAGGGACAACACAGCGCAGCATCTTTGACAGAGGAGGAAAGGATTCCTGGGTCCCGTCTGTTTTTGAGTCTCTGAGCCAGAGGGACATACGGAGCTTCATCCTCAGAATCACTGCTGATCGTCACGGTGTCAGGAACCGGCCCACGCCGCTGATGGGGGAACAAGGCTGCAGGATCAGACAGACCCGAGTCTGGTACCTCTGGGGTCCGACGGGAGACCTGACTGACCGTTGGCTGGAGAAAGTCAAACGTAGGAAGCTCGTCATCTGGATCACTGGTCCCGTCCATACCCTGGACAAGCATGCACACAAAAGGAATCGGGTCAGATCACAGAAGGCAGCAGCTCTGTTTATATGGCAACATTACATCGACAAGGCTGGATCAACCATCCAACTCCAGCTTTATATTAAACTAGGGTGACCGTACGTCCTCTTTTCCCCGGACATGTCCACTTTCCACTCTCTTTCCGGGGCATCCGTGGGGGTGGGGGCGGGGGGGGGGGGGGGGGGGGGGTCTTGTATTGATGAAAATGTCCGGCTTTTGCAGGAGCAGGGATCGAATTATAGGGGAGCTGGATATCCTACACATCCAGGGGAGCTGGAAAAAAGTTTTCTACCTATATTACATCATTTATGGACTCTTTTGAGCAGAGAGCACAGAGAGCGGCAGAGCGATGATCGTTGTTGCTAAGCGCTCCAGGCTGCTGCGTCCAGCGCACGGTCCATTCTCAAAGTGGTGCAACCAAAAAACACGATCGTTCATGTCTGTACATGTTCTCAATTTTCTGTCTTATTTGTGCCTGAAGCGCTCTGCTACTGCGGAGCTCATCACCTGTGCTGCGGTGATTTCACCTCACTGACGCAGCATCGAAACGCGCTCTCCGCTCTGCGGTCAGGAGATCCCTTTGATCTGCTCAGAAGTAACTGATGAGGTGAAAAAGTAAGAATCCAGGCAGCAGATTTTCTGGAGAGTTTAGAGGAGATGCAGGAAGATGAGAGACAGACAGGACAGGAAATAGTTCAATAAAAACAAGAAAACTGTAGGTAGATTTATCTCCACTACACGTTTTTACCTGCATAAAATAAGTTATACACATGTCATATTTATACATCTGATACAATTCAGATCACCTTCTAAACTCAGTCACACACCCAGGGCCGTTTCAAGACATTTTGGGGGCCAAGGCAAAATGAACCCCCCCCCCCCTCCATAACTGGGCTCCCCAGAAGCCTCTGTGTAATTCATGCCCTCTCCAGTAGTGTTAGTTATACAGTGTTTATAAAAGCCCCTCAGACATTACTGACATGTTCTAATATTATCAGATGAAAAACTAAATTATCAGACATGCTGTCTCATCTGCTGCTTTTCTTAACTTGTAAAAAGTAACAAAACCATTTGAAAGCCACTATTTGTGGATTCTCTGAAAGTTTCCATGGAGTGTGTGACAACTTATTTTATCATTGATCCTATCGTCTAATCTCACAGCTGAAACAAGCATCCTTAATAATCTGTGCACAGGAAGCGTACCGATGCTGTAGTAAAACAAAAGGTATAATAATTTATTATTAATAAAACCTTGTTGCAGCACTAAAGCAGAAAAATGAGATTTAGCATTAAATATGCAAAATATTTACATATGAATTGTTTTAGAGCCCTTTTATTGGCAGAATCTGATATTAATTTAGTTCTTACAAAAAATGGGTCCCAACATGGTTTGTGTGGCGTTGCCATAGTGTGACGTCATAGGCACAGATCCCCTGTCCTCTTGTTTGGAAATGGAAATATGGTCACCCTGTATTAAACAAACTGTCCACCCGGGCTTTTGCGCTGCACAGAGACGCTTCGCTGCCTATGACTGAACGTCAGTTGAGAGTCAGTCTCATGCAGACTGACCAATGAAGAGAGGGCCTCAAGTTAAGACCCTCTCCTCATTGGTCAGTCCACACAAGGTGGGTCAAAGGTTACCCTGAGGGGTTACGTGATGTCAGGCATTCAAGTATTGAGTATATTTACTGCATATTACAGTAAAATATTCTGTATGTGACCATATTATGGTGATCCTTGGGTGGTGATGATGGGGCCCTTGAATATTGTTGCCCAGGGTACAACAAAGTGTTAATCAGGCCCTGTACATCGAGATGAATGATGGCTCTCTGAAAGGGGTTGTGCCAGAAAGAGTCCTGCTGTGGGAAGGGGCACACGGGGATCAAGGCAGCTTTTTAATACATTTATACGTTTCTTATCCGCGTGCTTCCTTACACAGCGATGGTTTATGGGCAAATAAAAAAAGAAACGCCGGCTTCTAACAAGTTTTATTTGAAATCACAATGAATATAAAAGTAATTTTAAATCACATTTCTGCTTTTTTAAGCCAACAGTAAGATAACTGAAGCATGCTAAATAATAATATTAAATTGTCGCTAAACATTAACATGTTTGGATAACATTTAATCGTTCGTATTTCTAGCCAAAACCAAACGTTTTTCAAGAGAAACGCAGGTTAGAAACGTCATCGCTCTAATGTACGCGCTGACAGAGCATACACATCTCGGCACAACACCTGTGCCGTTTCGAACCGAACCCACTGGTTAAAAAGGACCTACGTGTTTTAAACTGAGTGTGGGACCGCACCACTGACCCTTCACCAGACCGCTCCGGACTCCCAACGACAGCTCGTACAGCGCGGCTCGGTTCCGTCCACAGTTTGATTCCCCCGGTTTTCCGGATCCTCCTTCTTCTTCTGCAGAGCACACAGCGCAGAGGTACACTGCCGCCCCCTGCTGGCAGAAAGGCTAAATCAGCTCTTCCGACAGCACGGTTCTCTCCCACTGCCAACTCGTGTAACCTGCTCCCGTCCTGTCAGGAATACCAGATGCCTCCCGACGCCGGAAACAGAATTCCAAAGGGTCACGTTTCATGTTAAGGCTGTGATCAAAGCTACCCCTTCTCTAGCATCAGCAGCACCCACCTTGTGATTCCCTCAGAGGACTGAAGAATTTCCTTCTGTTACAAACACTTCAAATCAAACGCAGCTACATAATTTTTCCATTATACGCAAAAGCCAGAGGAGTTACGTTTGATAACATTTATCCAGGTAAGGATAAGATGTAATGGCGAGGTTAATGACACATACTTTTTACCCATCGGTTGTAGAAACAATGCAAATTCCTTCTTTTCTTGTAGTGAATCATCATCAGGTTCATTCCAGGGAATTCAGAATTAGTCGCTGACTGATGATTTCCTTATGGTCTAGCAGCAAAACTACTCCTGGCCTGAAATGGGAAGTCGTGATTAATAATAACTTACCAGATATTATTTACACACATGCAAAAGTTCCGCCTAGCCCGTTCTGCACCACCTGTCATACCTCAGACCGCTGTCACACCTACTATAAAGTACTTATGAATGAATGAACGAATGAATGAATGAATGATCATAACTGAACACACCACGAACTCGTACATGAAACGGTTAATTCTTTTATTTTGTTTAGAGAAACACACTTTATTGAAACACTGAGCTCTGTCGTCACGTCACGGTCATCACGTGACTTCGACCATGTTACAAAAAAGACCTCGGGAGGTTTTTAACCACAGTGTGTGTGTGTGTGTGTGTGTGTGTGTGTGTGTGTGTGTGTGTGTGTGTGTGTGTGTGTGTGTGTGTGTGTGTGTGTGTGTGTGTGTGTGTGAAGAAAAAGTAAGGGTGTGAGGAACAACCGGATGTGACGTAGAAGCACAGGCGTGACTACCAAACATGGCGTCGCTGTGGTCCTTGCTGCCGTCCCGAACAGGTAATGGCTTCCAGCTCTGTAACGCTCCCGCCGCGGCTGGACCTGACCGTGTCTCGTTGCTTTCAGCCCTGCTGCCGCTCGCCTCGGTGAGGTTCGCGTCTAAGAAGTCTGGAGGCAGCACCAAGAACACCGGAGGGAACAGCCCCGGACGCAGATATGGCTTCAAGAAGCAGGATGGTAATGTTTACCTTCTCAGTGGTCTATGCACGTGACCGCCCTGGGACTGGAGATGGGTCATGTCCGGGTCGGGTCGTACCACGGCTCCCTGAGGCCGGGGACACACTGGCCGCGGAAGCGCCGCGAAGCGCCGCGAAAATGGGACCGCCTTCATTCGGCGCCCTTGTTAAGCTATTCTATAGACCACATGGGCCGCCGAAGCGTCGCGAATCGCCTCGCGCCGGCGCGCGCCGGCGCTCCAGCCCGCGCCGTGCAGCGATCATTTCGGCGTTGGCTCTATTTTTTTCGCGAGCCGCGGGTGAATCGCGTCAATTCTGGCAGGAAGTCAAACGTAGACATAAGAGGCAGGCCGGTAAAGTTAACAAAATAAAGCATTTCAAAATAAAATTCCGCAATAGTCAAATGTGTTCGTAAACAGACACTGCAGAGAAACCACACGAACACGCACACACATACACACACATCGAACTTGTGTGCGTGTGTGACCACGTGAAGGGGGGAGTGGTTTTGGGTGTCTTTTCACCGGAGCAAACAGGACAGAGAGGCAGAAAGTCTGAGGCAAGCAGTTAGGATGGATGACTTTAAATTAATTATGGAAGTTGAGAAACACAAGGAGCTGTACGACCCCCGAAAAACATGATTGTTTACGTACCCATGTCGGAAGAAACTGCTAGGATACAGCTGCAGAATTGGAGCGGGTTCCAAGAGATTCAACTGGCAGAAACAACTCATACCATAGGTTCACACACACACGCGCGCGCGCACGCACGCGCACAAACACTCAAACGTAGGAAAAGAGCTGAGAAAAGGCAGAGAGGAAATGGAGGACACCAAGTGTTTAAAAGAAAAACTACAGCTGAGCCGAGGCGCGCCTCGACTGGGGCGCGTCTGATCTGAACTGAGGAGCGGCGAGCAGCGGCCGAATTTCGTGAGCGATTCGCTTCTCGGCGCTTCGCGGCGCTTCCGCGGCCGGTGTGTCCCCGGCGTGACACTCAGCTTGAAGCGGGGTGGCCATATTTCCTATAGAGGACAGGGGATCTGTGCCTATGACGTCACACTATGACAAAACCACACAGACCACGTTAGGACCATTTTTTTCCCCAGGTGAAGAACTAACATTAATATCAGATTCTGCCAATAAAAGGGCTCTAAAACAATTCATGTGTAAATATTTAGCATATTTACTGCAAAATCTCATTTTTCTGCTTTAGTGCTGCAATAAGCTTTTATTAATAATAAATTATTATACCTTTTGTTTTACTACAGCATCGGTAAACTTCCTGTGCACAGATTATTAAGGATGCTTGTTTCAGCTGTGAGATTAGACGATAGGATCAATGAAAAAATAAGTTGTCACACACTCCATGGAAACTTTCAGAGAATCCACAAATAGTGGCTTTCAGGTGGTTTTGTTACTTTTTACAAGTTTAGAAAAGCAGCAGATGAGACGGCATGTCTGATAATTTAGTTTTTCATCTGATAATATTAGAACATGTCAGTAATGTCTGAGGGGCTTTTATAAACACCGTATAACTAACACTACTGGAGAGGGTATGTGTTACACAGAGGCTTCTGGGGAGCCCAGTTATGGGGGTGGGGTGGTGGTGGTGGTGGTGGGGGGGGGGTTCCGTTTTGCCTTGGCCCCCAAAATGTCTTGAAACGGCCCTGGGTGTGTGACTGAGTTTAGAAGGTGATCTGAATTGTATCAGATGTATAAATATTACATGTGTATAACTTATTGTTTTATACAGGTAAAAATGTGTAGTGGAGATAAATCTACCTACATTTTACTTTCTTGTTCTTATTGAACTATTTCCTGTCCTGTCTGTCTCTCATCTTCCTGCATCTCCTCTAGCCTAGTGAAGTAGACCAAACTCTTGCTTTGCAAAGTTTGCCGGATGCAGCGGGCGCACCAACGATCAGCGCTCTGCGTCTTCTCCACTCAACAGAACCCCGCTACACTGAGAGTCCATAAATATTGTAATATAGGCAGAAACTGGATCTTTCCCTGGAAGATATCTAGCCCCCATAACTGGATCCCTGCTCCTGCATGAAAAACCGGACATTTCGATCAAAGTAGGAACGCCCCGGACAGAGAATGAAGATTAGACATGTGCGGGGGAAAGAGGACGTACGGTCAGCCTAGTTTAAGAGGTTGGACTGGCGCTAAACCACCATGGCTCCCAAGCGCAGCCACAGCTGCAGCTCCCTGCAGGGATGGCTCAGAAACGGAGATGAGTGTCACCAGTGTGTGATGACTGAAAGTTTAAAGAGCAAGTCACCCCCCAAGTCAACTGTTTTTGCCGATAAATTATATAAATGAGTGTCTAGTCGTGCTGTAGACACGTGTAGTCAATATTTTGGCACTTTAGTGCATCTTGGTTAAAGTTTAAATACTCAGCCAAAAACTGTTGTTGTTGCACCGTAATCCGGTAGAAACTCTGCACTGCATTTGAATCTAAATCTGCCTTCGCTATTTGCTAAGAAGCACCCTCTGACGTCAGCTGGTACCATATGATGTCATAATGTTGTTGAGAGCCTGTGTGTGTGTGTGTGCGTGTGTGTGTGTGTGTGTGTGTGTGTGTGTGTGTGTGTGTTAGCGGCTCCACCCTCAGTCTGCCAGGTAATTTTTCAATCAGGAAGCGGAGTTAAGTCTCTGGTAGGGGGTGACTTGCTCTTTAAGTCTCTGGCAGGGGGTGACTTGCTCTTTAAGTCTCTGGTAGGGGGTGACTTGGTCTTAAAGGCAGGTGGGATAGTTCCCCTCTTAGTCCATTCTAAGTATTCCCTCATCCAAAAAAGCAGTTTCACAGAGAACGTCAATTAAAATAAGAGATTATTCATAATAAACGCAGAACGTTAGAACTGGGACAGAAACATGGGGTGACTGGTTCAGGTCCGATGGTGAAACTGGTTAGCAGGTGTTCAGGTTCTTGCCCAGATTGACCTGAACCTCCTGCCCACGGGGAGTGGTTGGAACAGCAGCGATGCAGCCTCAGAGCCGTGGGTGGGAGGGTACAGGGTCCTGCGTTTCACCTGTTTGTCCCTCGCAGTGGTCCCCACGTACGTGACCCTGGAGGTGAGGATGGACTCGATGATGGACGGGTATATTTTGGAGCCTCATCACAGTTCTGAGTTTCTTTAGCGACCATGCAAACCTGAACACAAATGCCCAGTTCGACCAGTAGGTGGCACTAACGTGACATGAGCATTGAAGTAGAAATCCTGTTTTAAAGGAACAAACTACAGTTTTGGTTGGCTAGAGGCCGTTTTAAGCTTGGTTTATGCTTGACGCATTCACTTTCCGCTTGGTGATGCGGCTCGTGGCAGGAACACGCTTCACAACTCGCAGCGTTTGTGGTTCATGCGGCAACATCTTTGAATGAATATTTTCCCCAGAACTTTATTGAACAAAAGTAAGTTACGTGTAAGAAAAATGCTTTTTACTGGCGCACAGTGTGGTCATCTGGATGCAGTGGAGGAAAATAAAGGAACCAGCAAAGGCAGAACCGGTCCAAAGTTTGGGATCAAAAGTGCAGCTACACGCAGACTGGCTAATGCTAAAGCTAACGGGTAGCAGTCTCACGATCAAGTGGCGCACAGGAAAATATATGATGATGGTAAAACTAAGAGCGGATGAAAAGTCCCCCCCATCCTGTTTACTCTGCATCCTGCAGCGCTACGGATCAGAACCGCTGCAGATACGGGTCACATTACTGCTGGCGCAGGAAGTACGGCAAGCCGTTGTATTATATAATTCACAAACGCTTCTATCTTTGAACATAATTTGAACTGGATTATTGCTAACCCGTACATAATAGACATGCCAGCGTTACATTGTTAGCAGCAGAAATTAAATGTTATTAGCATTTCCAACACAAATGCATGTTAATGAAATGTATTACATGTTACTGGATATATTTATGTGTTATTTAGACTAAGGTGAGTGTTATTAATGCAAACCTAACATGTTACTGAAATGTAGGTCAAATATTTAAAATGATTTTTAACTATAAATATCAGACGGGAAAAAGGAACTAAACACCAATCTAATGCTAATCATTGAGCCTTTCATCATATTTTGCCTTTAAAAGGTGAGGCAGTTGAATGCACAGAGTGTGCTGGCGCAGGGTCAGGATGGTACCACCTCTGCCTCAGTTTGAGCCAGGAAAAACACTGATATCAGTATCAATAATTATTGAAAACTATATGAAAAATATAGAATATATTTTAAGTGCAGCCCGGCCATCTGAGGCCATCACTTCATGATAAAATGTCGGTTGCATTACCAGACTGGTTTTTCATCGGTTCTGTTTCAAACCACCGTTGTTTGTTTATTGTCAGACTTGTAAGAGTGAAAATATCGCCACACTGGTGAAGTACTGGGACCTGTCTCCTCGCTGCTGAAGTCACACTGCTGTCTGTCTGGGGTTGGGAGCGGAGGGCTTGGTGACGGAGCGTGACCAAAGCCAATTTTTATCCCCGGCACGTTTTACCGACCAAAACCAACGTTACGCTGAATTAAACTGACACTGATGAGCACTAGGACCAAGAGGGAAACAACCGCTTGTGCTGAAGCCTGTTTCCCATCTGAACCTTCCAGAAGCTCATCTATTGGCTCTGCTGATACTTGCTAACGTGTGATTGGCTGTTCCTGCCACCTGTGTACTTGACAGTTCTGCATTTCCGACATTGCATAAAAGCCTCTAGGCTGTAGTTTCAGACTTATGTTTGTATACTTACTGTAAAGACCCCCTTCCCCGTCCTCATGCCGGTTGTGTGTCCCCCCGCTGCTAAAGTCAGAACTACGTTCTTGGTTTAAGGAGTCTGGTGTTGAGCAGAACAACCACAGTAAAGTCCTGTTTGTGGTAACAGTGGATCAGCTGATCCAGAGGCAGAGAAAAAGATAAACCTCCAACCAAAACTCATAAAAATAATTAATGAATCAGGAAAGCAGGAAGAAATGTCATTTCTGTTTTTTCGTCAAACTATTTGGGGTTTTGATCACATTTAGCTTGTATTTTATTTAAAATAAGGCTCGTGACATGGTCGCATACAGGCAAGCTAATGCTGTTAAAGTGTAGCTGTACTAGCAGGTGTTTTTCTCGGAATGCTGTTCTTTTCCCTCCTTAGTCGGGGAAGACGATTTGCTGCTAAATGAAATAGCGAATCAAAGGAGGGCCCTTCTAGCCAGTCAGAGGAGAGAAAGGCAGGACCTTCCCAGATCATTATGCAGTTTGATCATTCACGACCTGGACCTGAGTGCGTGACTAGACATTGGGTTATTTATGCCAGACCTGTTGGTCAGAAAACCATCAGCTGCAGATGCGCCCAAGAAAGGCTCCAAGAAAGCGGTGACTAAAACCGCCGGCAAGGGAGGAAAGAAGAGGGAAAGGACCAGGAAGGAGAGCTACGCCATCTACGTGTACAAGGTGTTGAAGCAGGTCCACCCCGACACCGGGATCTCCTCCAAAGCCATGAGCATCATGAACTCGTTCGTTAACGACATCTTTGAGCGCATCGCTTCTGAAGCTTCCCGTCTGGCGCACTACAACAAGCGCTCTACCATCACCTCCAGGGAGATTCAGACCGCTGTCCGCCTCCTGCTGCCTGGTGAGCTGGCTAAGCACGCAGTGTCTGAGGGCACCAAGGCTGTCACCAAGTACACCAGCTCAAAGTAAATTGTGTGGAGGAGGAGGTTCTCGAAGAGAAGACCGGTGCAACATCGGTCATTTGGACTTCGTTTGACTTTAAGGAGTCGGATTGGAGCATAACAATATATGCTCCTGCAAGGTATGCCGGAAGAAAGTATTAGCGAATAGAGGGAATACATCTAATTTGTTTTACCACCTCAAAACGAAGCACGTTGTGGAATACGAAGAAAGCCAAAAACTGCGTCCTCAACAAACGCCCAGTCAGTCGAGCGGTAAGAAAAAAGGTGGCCCTACACACCAGCAGATGGATATTTTACAAGCATTTGCAAAAGGCACTCAGCATGAGAGAAATAATCAACGGTGGATTGATGTTACAAATGCCATTAGCACGTGCCTGTGTAAGGACATGGTGCCGTTTCTTACAGTGGAGAAAAGCGGCTTTCGGGACACGATTAAGACACTCGATCCACGTTACGAGGTACCGAGCCGCGAACACTTCAGCCAAACAGAGATGCCAAAACTGTACGAGAAAGTCCGCGAGCAAGTAAAGCAAGAACTCCAAGGAATAAAACACTATGCAACTGCGACGGACTTGTGGTCTAGTCGCACAATGGAGCCTTACATTAGCCTCACGGTCAACTTTTTCAACGAAGAGTGGAAGTTGTGCAGCAGATGCCTACAAGCGTCCTATTTCCCTGAGGATCATACTGGGAAACTGATAACTCAAGGACTAAAGGAAGCACTGGAAGCATGGGGACTTAAAGAAGAGTTCCATGTCTGCGTAACCACCGACAATGGGGCAAATATTGTAAAAGCAGTGGAACTGAATGACCGGACAAGACTGCAGTTCTTCGGTCACAGGCTGCACCTCGCCAGCGGTAGGTTAAACATTTCTTTTAGTCCTAGTTCGACATTATATGCAAGTGCTGAGTGACGTATGCAAGCTTTCATGGACCAAACCCGGTGCTAGTCGTCGATATGTGCTACTTTGGGTAAATGCACAGACCTATTATTTTGTCACTGGCTGTTAACCTGAAGAGACGCTCTTCCTTTGGAAGTAATTATATTGTTGCAGGTTTACCTGACAGTTAGCTTGTAAAATGTCATTAATATACTGTAAACAAGAAAGTTCTCCCATTGTTTACCGTCATTCACAGAATCATGACACGGTCTTTTTCATAAATAAATCACAACAAACACTGTATTCTTTTGCTGATAATTATTCTACATTTCTGTATTTGAGTAATATCACTTCACCTATTTATAATGAACCGTGCGCTGCGGTAGGAATATTCGACAAGGAAGCACGAGGGTGTCAAAACACCGGTGCACACCACCCACCACCACAGGGAGAGAATATCTGATGGTTAGTGCTTGGTGGTTACTAATTAATTATTGTAGGTACTCATTAGAGTACTAAACCAAACACATTATATTAACCCTGCCCTGGTTATATGTGACCCTCCACAGGATTTCACTCACTCACTCACTCACTCACTCACTCACTCACACTGTTATTATTATATAATTACTGTTATTAATTAATATAGAGTTATAAAGTATGGTGTGTGGTGTTTTTTAATCATCAGATAATTCAGGCTTATTCAGGATTAGGTTATACTGGTATTTGTATACGTTGATGTGTTTGGTCCAGATGTTTTCTGACACTGATATTGTGCATGTGGAATGCGACTACTGTTAATACGTCCAGTTCTGTCCTCAGAGAGAAGTGTGACAGACGCCAGTGTTGAACGTGCAATCTGCAAGTGCAAGAAGCTTGTGAGTGCATTTTCTTACACTTGGAGAGAAAACGAGAAGTGGCTAATGCCCAGGCTGAGCTCAACCTGCCTCCTCACCGCCTCATAACTGAAACACCAACAAGATGGGGCTCTCGTCAACAGATGGTTCAGAGGCTGCTTGAACAAGAGAAGGCCATAATCCCAGGTCCTGAAAGCAGACAGGAGAACCAGGCACCTGGTACCAACTTGGCAGGACATTGATGTGTTAGAATCTATGAGCAAAACCCTCGAGCCCCTGGTGGAGTTCACAGATGCTCTGTCTGGAGAGGAACATGCGAGTGTGTCGTATGTCAAACCTGTGCTCCACCTTCTACACAACACAGTTCTTCCTCTAGCTGACGATGGCACAGACCTGACAGCAGGCATGAAGAGAACCATCCTCACGTATTTAAATGAGAAGTACTCAGACCCTGCAACCGATGACCTGCTGCATATGGCCTCCTTTGTCGACCCACGCCTCAGATCATCATATATAGCTGATAACTGAAGAGAGTTCATCATGACAAAAGCAGCAGCAGAGATTCAAGCACTGCTAGAAACACGAGCTGCGTCTGCCACAAAGACACCACCATCCCACACGAGCACAGGAGCTGCTGGACACGTCCAAAGTGAACCCAAGAGGAGTAAACGAACTCTGAGCAGCTTTTTCACGAAGGAATCTGTTCAGCCCGGCCCAGCTGTCCTCACTAACAGAGAAGAGACTGAAATTGAGCTGAAGAGTTACCTGCAAGCACTGGACGTTGGAGGAGATGTTAACCCACTGGAGTGGCGGCGGCTGCACCAGGCCAACTTTCCCAGGGTGGCAAGCCTAGCCAAGAAATACCTTTGTATTCCTGCCACGAGTGCCCCCTCAGAAAGAGCATTCAGCACCAGTGGCAACATGGTAACATGTCACAGATCTGCACTGAAGCCTGAGACTGTGAACAAACTGGTGTTCCTGGCAAACAACCTCTGATGTGCAGGAAGGTTTAGTCACTGCTCACAAGGAGCACAAACGCTGATGTTTAATGTTCACATCTGCAGTTGATATTGCAGGTTAGAAATGTGTTCTGTTGAGAGTTTGTAGTTCTAATATGGGCAGCTTTATTGTGTGCAATATAAAGAAGTAATCAGGAAAGAAGGAAAAATGTTTGTTCTATTTCGTCTAGTCTTAGCCCTTAAGCGAGCTGCTATTGGAAGGGTGATCTCAGCATCAGCCAATCATGAAGAGCTTCAATGTACGCCCACCACGTGGGCACCCCTTGTGGGTATATAAGTGGAGCGACTCCACTGTTCGCCTCCGTTTTCTCTTCACGCCAAGCTTAAGAGCTTCCTTTAAGAGCAATTATACAAGAAAAATCTACTCACCGACCATGTCCAGCGACGCCAGGACCTGCCCGGCCTGCCAGATGGGCTCCATCTCCAGCGGCGACCTGCACGACAAGTGTGAGGTCTGTCTTGGGGCTCACCACGCTGGCCTGGCCTTGACCCCCAGGCCTCGTGCCCGTTTTGTACCGCTCTGCCCATGGCTGAAAAGGTCCGCCGGGTCGAGTACTTCACCCCCACCGCCGACGAGGAAATTCCGGTGGCTGGCATGTACTCGCTGGACAAGGCGTTACAGTCCTTCAACGTCGGCCAGGAGCCGGCTGGCTCCTACCGACTGGACGATGTCATCGACAGCGAGGAGTATGACGAAGCTGGCTGCCATAGCCCTTTTCCCTCCTGTACAACACGGAGGTCGACGAGCCTCGCTGCCATAGCCCTTTTTCCCTCCTGTACAACACGGAGGTCGACCGCGAGACTGGCTGCCATAGCCCTTCTTCCTTCCTGTACAACACGGAGGTCGACGAGCCTCGTGAGGAGCACGACGAGGCTGGCTGCCGTAGCCCCCTTTCCCTCCTGTACAACACGGAGGTCGACGAGCCTCGCTCAGCGGGTCCTTCTGCCCCAGTGGCTTCTCGCTCCTCCCTGCCAGCAGTTAGAGCATTGCTCCAGGAGCTGCCCGCCATCATCTCCGCGGCTGCGGCCGGCAAGGGGCTAGCCGTTCCAGAACCGGCTCCGCCTGAGGCAGATGAATTGGCGGGAATTTTCGGGGCGACACAGACGCGCTGTCCAGACCCCGTCTTGCCACGCTTCCCCGCTGCCATGAGCTGCTGGTCCGCCACCTTCTCCGAGCCTGCCGGGCTCAAGGCGCCAATTTCCACATATGTGCCCATTACCAAGGTCGAGGGCTTCTCCAACCTGGGCTGGCCATCCGTCCCCTCACTGGAGCCGGACTTGGCCTCGCTGTGTGGCGTCGAGGCCAAGAACCACCTCGCTGGACCACGAGCAGTTCCCTCCTCTAAGCATGACCAGCTGCTGAGGCAGCTCGCCGATCGCGCACACCAGTGCACCTTCCAGACCGGCGCTGCAGGAAATAACATCGCCTTCTCGCCTTTGGGGTTTCCAAAATGGTGGAGGAGCTTGACGCTCCTGTCGAGTCGGAAACCATCATTACTAAAACTGCTGATGCCATCCTCAATCTGTGCGTGGCTGTACTCACCGGTTCTGCTGCATTGCTGCCTGGCAGACCCTTATCCAGCGGGCCTTGTGGCTCAAGGCCCTGCCCTCCATTCCTGAACACCTGCACAGGGAGCTGCTGGAAGGCCCCATCACCTCTGACGTTCTGTTTGGTCCCCATCTTACGAGCGTCATCGAGAGGGCTCAGACGACGGCTGAACTTTCAGCCACGGTGCGAGACCTGGTCCACTCTCGGTCAGCCTCGCACTCCGGCCGTTCCCCCAGAGGATGGGACGAACGGCGCGGAAACTCCAGGCGCCCAGCTGAGGCGGGACCAGGGAGTTGGCAGCCAACGGTTCCGAATGAGCCAGCAGACACAGCCTTGGCAGTCTCCGTCACTGGAACCTCGCCGAAAACAACCACGAAAACGACTCGTTGGGGGGAATATGTGTGCTTATGACTGTAATGTTAACTCTGAATGATTTTGGTTTTGAAATAAAACCCAAAAAAACGTCACATCGAGAGCACAGTCCTACAGTCCTCTGCAGAACCCTCTGCCGAATCCTCACACATGATGTTCCCCGCACCAAGCACTGCAGCACATCCGCATGTTCACACAGTCGGAATCGGTCATGTTACACGGCTTGCTGTAAGGGTACGCTCCATTTGCGCTCCGGCCCCAGTCTACGGCCAGGCCCGACTCATCCCTCTTCCCCCACAGCGTTGGGAGGGACGGGATGTCATGGCGCTGTCGCGACCACGCGCAAGGCACTTTCATTAAATGTCTGGAGACCGCGCTGCAGCCACTGCGCACGGCGGGAACGAGGGTTTTATTTTACCGGGACGATCTGCTCCGATGCGCCCGGTCCGAGGACGAGGCGTCAGAGCAAACCAGGAAATTAACAGAGCATCTGTCAACCCTGAGGTTTTCTATAAACTGGGGGAAGAACTCCATCCTTCCATCCCAGTCGATTGTGTTTCTCGGGGTGGAGCTGAACGCCTCCCTAATGAGAGCACGTTTGTCGCCGGTGAGAGCGGCAGATCTCACCACGGTGATCTCCCGCATGCAACCCCGCAAGATCGTGAGAGCCCTGTTAGTCATGAGACTTCTGGGCATGATGGCTGCAGCCCACTAGGCGGTGCTACTAGGGTTGTTGCGCTCGAGGCGCCTGCAACGCTCATCCGCCTCCGGGCACACCCGATATGTCAGAAGAGACGTATGTTGAGGGTTCCCCCCTCAGTGGGCGGGGACCTCGCTCACTGGGGGAATCCCTGCATCCTCTCACACGGGGTCCCCATCGGAAGTCCTACGTCACACGTATCTGTGTTTACGGATGCGTCACTGTCTGGGGTGGGGAGCACGTGCTTGTCCCATACGGCGGCAGATCGCTGGCCCTCCCACACGCATGAGCACATAAATGTGTTGGAGCTTATGACAGTGAGGAATGCGTTCAGACACTTTGCTGCCCTTCTCGGTGGCCGTCATGTCGAAGTTCACACAGACAGCCAGGTGGCGGCAGCCTACATAAATCGCCAAGGGGAGTTCGATCCCTCCCACTATTGCGCGTAGCCACAGGTTTACTGTGTTGGGCACATGTCCACCTGCTGTGCCACCTACATTCTGGGGATCCTGAATGTAGCGGCAGACATCCTGTCGAGAGGGGTCCCCGCGACTCCGACTGGCGTTTGCATCCCACACTGATATCACAGATCTGGATCAGGTTCGGGGAACTGTCTGTGGAGCTGTTCACGGCTCGCGAAAACGCTCAGTGTCGCCTGTGGTTTTCCCTGAGTCCCCGGGACCAACCCCCGCTCGGGGCGGACGCCTTCTGCCACCAGCCCTGGCCTCGAACGCTCCTTTATGCGTTTCCACCAGTCCCTCTGATTCCCCGTCTCCTGGACCGAGTTCGGTCAGAACAGCTCTCGGTAATTCTGGTGGCTCCCAGACGCTTGTCCGCGTCATGGTTTCCGGACCTGCAAGAGCTACTGTCCGGCTCCCCGTGGAGACTCCCGCGAAGGGAGGACGCCCCTCCCCAGGCGGATGGGATAATCAAACATCCTCCAGAAATAGGCCAACGGCTGTGAGTCTGGCCGCTGAGCGGTCACACTTAGGGGTTTCTGGGCTGCCGCATGATGTGGTCACCATGATTCAGAGTGCGCGGGTGCCTTCTACCATCACATCTTATGCTGCTAAATGGGCAGCTTTCCAGAAATGGTGCACAGAGCGGAATGTTCAAGCGCTCTCCTGCCAGCTGGCAGATGTCCTATCATTTCTGCAGGTACGGACGGACAGGGGCCTCGCATTCAGCAATGTTAAAACATATGCTGCAGTTATCTCATCCTGTCACCAGGATTTTGGTGATGGGTCTGTTTTCAGTCATCCCCTCACAAAACGTTTTCTAAAAGGTGTCAGGAGGAACAGACCTGTGTCCCGCCCGCTAATTCCCCAGTGGGACCTAACGGTGGTTCTGCGTGGCTTATTGAAGCCCCATTTGAACCCTTGGACCAGGTCTCACTCAAGTTCCTGTCACAACTGCCTTGCTGCTGGCACTGGCATCAGTCAAGAGAGTGAGCGACCTAACTCGCCCTCTCAGTGGCTCTCGCATGCCTCAGGATCCGGGAAGATGGCGGGTCTGCTGTTTTATGCCCCAACCCAGCCTCTGTGCCCCAAAACATTAATACTTCCTTCAAATCCAGGTCAATTTTCATTGGCTGGACTTTTTCCTCCTCCCCATAATTCTGATGAGGAGGCGACTTCTCATCTTCTCTGCCCGGTGCGCGCGCTCGCACGATATGTGTCACGCACTTCAGGGATTCGCCGCTCACAAATCATGTTTGTGCACTACAGGGAGTCTTCCCTTGGGCAAGCGCTGTTGGCCCAGCGCCTTTGACTCTGGCTATGTGACGCCATTTCACTCGCTTACACATCAGCAGGGCGGGATCCCCCGAGACACTCAGGGCTCACTCAGCCAGAGGGATTTCCTCTTCTGTGGCGCCCCACAGTGGTGTGTCGATGGAAGACATTTGTCAGGCTGCTTCATGGGCTTCACCCTGTTCCTTTACTCGTTATTATTTACGAGATGTGTCTTCAGGATCCATCACTCGTTCAGTGCTTGGACCTCAGCAGGCTGAGTGAAAGCATTATGGCACCTCATCAGCCCTGCTTGAATGAATTTCATCCTCTTGTGGATGATATTTTTTAGTGGGGGCCTCACTCTTATCTCTGGCTGCCTCAGCCTTTTAAGCCCTGGGCTGAGGCTGAGCGACCCTAATATAACTTTCACTTATATTTTTGTTTAAAATATCCAAAATTTTAATTTTTATTGAAGAATGGTGCGTTCCATTATTTGGAAAAAGATCTGTTACACATCTTAAATATTACTTGTAAAGCTTTTTGATTTTTACACAATAAATATTCTTAAAATGGCATTTTATACTTTTTGAAGTGTGTTTATTCTGCTGTATCTGGTATGTGAGTATGTTTAGAAACAGTTTTTGATATATACCGTAAATCCTCTAATATCGGCCTGTATTCAATTAACGGCCGGGTCTCATATTTTGGCCGGAGTCGGCGGAGGTGAATAATGGCCGTTTTTTTATTGTGGCCGGGTGGAATGTGGTAACAAGCAAGTACGGGGGGCGGTTGTGTCATCGTCTCACTTTTGATTTGCCAGTGATAGACCGCAAGGGTAACTTTAACCGTGCGGAGACGAAGCGGAGGCGAAAATTTGATATCAAGTTCAAAGAGAACGTGCTGATTATGCTGCAGAACACTCTGGGGAGCAGTAGCAGGGGTTGTATGAACTAGTCACTAGTCGACTTCACCGCTCTACAGTGACTTGTTATGCCTGTCATCGACTAGTCGCTGTCACGTGATAATGACCGGCAAGATGCAGTCCACAGAAAAGACAGCAGCCTGCTGTCAGCAGGTGACAAGCTCCTGCGCGTCGGGAGGCAACGCGCTGTGCCAGAGCGTCGGTACCGACACCCGCCGTAAAACGGACATTTAACCAATTTGTGACCTTTTCCCTCTTACAATTTAACCTTCCCCTCACCCCCATCCTAACCTTAATTAGCTTGCACATGCAAAGCTCTCCAGACATCTGCGTCCTGAGCACGGCCACAGTAACATTATCAAATCAGGTGTCGCCACCTCAAAAACTAATTTAACACACGATCGTTCATGTCGGCTCATTTCCTTTTATGTTTTCTGTCTTTTATTCTTTTATTTGTGCCTGATGCGTTTCGCTGCTGTGGAGCGGGGCGCATCACCTGTTTTGTCCTCGGTGACGCACCAATCACTGATGTGGCCGGCGAGCACTCCGCTGTTTTAGCGGTCGGTAGATCTTTTAGAACTGCAGTTCAAAGGTAACTCATGAGGTGAATATATATGAACCCAAGTAGCAGTTTTTCTTTAGGATTGAGAGGAGATGCAGGAAGATAATAAACAGGCAGGACAGAAAAATAGTCAAATAAAAACAAGTTAGTTTTTGTACCTGCTGGTTGCAACAAACAGACACCACTGAAGGTAATCAGAAGTGAGGAACAGAAAATGAAATAATTATTTCAATGTTTAGAGCAGCAGGAACTCTGAGAGGCTGCAGGCGCATCAGTGAGTTTGCGGCCGCTGCGCAGGGGGAGGGGGGAGAGGGCTGAAGCAGAAACTACCGTTGTTAAAAGAAATGTGTTTAACTTTGAAAATGTGGGCACTACTTTAATTGTCAAAAACTCCAGCGAACCATTAGTTCATTTTGCTCAAATAGAAATAGAGGCCTGCCTCTAATTCTGGTCCTCCTTCCAATAAAGGCCTGGAGCTTGATGAGCTTGAGTCAAATACAGGCCCGGGCCTGTATTAGAGGACTTACGGTATACAAAAGAAACTCATATATCGCAATATAGATTTTAGGCCGTATCGCCCACCCCTTTGGTTTCCCCTTGCTTCCCTAGTTTTCCAAAGACCTTCTCCACTCCCACCAGCTTAGCTTAGCACATAAAGCGTTGTGGGTCTGGTTCCCATCTGGAGAAGCATTTCACTTCTGCCTCTGGCTCTAGTTTCTCTAGTCTTTCTGCTGAGTGGCGCTGATCATCGTTTTTCTGTTCAAAGGTCACTTTGTCCATGCTGGCAACATCCTGGCAACACAGAGGCTGTTGAGATATCACCCCGGGGCGCATGTAAGTTAGAATCTAAAATCATTAACATGGACTAATACTTCAGTCTGTTTCAGAACCACCTAGAGCGTCCAGCTGCTACTGACAAGTGAGACAAGCAAACAAGACTGTTCCTTTTCACAACGCTGGTGTCCAGCTTTGGTCTTCCAGGGCTCACGTCCAGCAGTTTCTAGAGCAGGGGTCGGCAACCTTTTCCCGTCAAAGAGCCATTTTTACCAGTTTCCCACAGTAAACAAAACACTGGGAGCTGCAGCAGCTGCGGCGTTGTGGGCGGGGCCTACCCTAAAACAGCTGAGAGCTGCTTCAACCGATCACAACAGGTGACAGCAACCAAGGTTGTTTGCTCATGTACGTTAAAGTGATCTTCCCACAGAAGATTAGTAATAAAACAGTTTGTATGGAGTTGATCCAGAAGCTGTAGCCCGTCTGGCTACAGCATTTAGACATTTTTCACCCTGTTAGTGGATTTAACATCGAGCAGGTGCTGCTTTTTGACACGTGACACACGCCTCCTTCTAAAACATGTTTAAACTGTTGAGAATACAAATCCAGTCTCTGTCTCGTTGGATTGTTGTAATTAAACTTTGTACAATTAAATATTAATTTATTATTTTACAAGCACACAGAGCCGCATCAGATGGATGAAAGAGCCCTGTTCTAGAGGTTTCTCTGCTCCAACACACCTGATTTTAATCAGCAGGTGATTTAGCCACTGACTCAGGTGTGCAGAAAATGACTAGACTTTAATGGGTTGCACCAGTGTTCTCCTCATCAAGCTAAAAGATTTAGTTGACCCCTTTTCCTCTTGGCAAAAGGAGACGCTGACGAGGTAAACACAGCCGCTTATTGACACGATCAGAAGTAATGGTGACGAGGTTTTTTTTTCTTCTATTCATAATATTAACATGTTTCTTCCTGAAAACGTGATGTTCTTGGACAGATAGACGTTTTTAAGACAATCTTAACATTAGTGGATCGAGATAATTTTTCTGCTGCCTGGTTTCTTTTCCGCTCTTTTAACCAGCAACACGATAGTTTTAGCCCTGTGTCACATCTAAATGTTTATGAGCGTTTAAACTCTGCTGCGGTTGCAGACAGGACACGACCTGAACTAGAATGAATTTACATCCCTGGTGAAATGCAGAATTTGGTTATTTGTATAAATTCTCTTATATGAAATTCACAGCACTGCCGGCCTATAGAAACCTGAAAACCTAACTTTTAGTACCCTAAAATTGACTGAAACTAAAAGTATTTTCATCCAGAAGACTAAGACCAAACCTAAGAGGACTTCCAAAAACAACACAGGCAGGCCTCCAGGGTGGAAATCCCCCAGATCCCCTCATTCGGTTTGTTGTGTTGAGTGTGAGAAAAACCCGTCTATAGTTGTAATTGAGATAAACGAAACTCTGGACACCACATGAACTGTTGGTAATGATACTTTCCTATCCCTGTCTTGAAGGTGGGCATAGGGACCAACAATACTCTGTATGCTCTGGAAGACGGCCATGTCAGGTTCACCAAGGAGGTCTACATACCCTCCCCACGTAGTCCAGAGGCCACGCAAGTCATCACCAAGCTGCCCAGAGGCGCAGTACTCTATAAGACCTTCATCAATGTCCTGCCAGCCAAGCAGGAGGGCAAGTTCAGGCTGGTGGACCTGGTCTGACTACTTCGGGATGAGGACAGAATTTGTGACCGTTTTGATCTGAGATCAGAGCCAAACACACATCAGTGTGGCTCAGATAGTTCCTGGTCTCTTGCTGTCTCTGGATTAAACAGGCTGTTTTGTTTTTAATTTGACACATTTGAGGCAAGAAACTGATGTGTGATTTAGTAACACAAATAAACATATCGTCTATGTGGACATTGTTCTATTTTCATCCTTTAACCTAGCAGCAGGAGGACATCTGCCAGTCATCATCTCGGTCATAATAGAGACGGGTGGTTCACCTGCATCGCCTGTGTTCATGAAGCTGAGGTGACTGATGGATAAAATATTCAGTCCCAACATAAGAATGTTAAGCAGAACATTCTCACCTGCATGTATGCACACAAAACAAGACTGGCAAAAACCCAGCCTTCCGTCTGCTCCAGCTATTCCCCATCTGCAATTTTTGGGAGCGATCCACTTCACGGCGCTTTGCTGCTGATGTTATCCTGGCATCAGAGGTAACTGTAGAACCTCATCTGTGCTTGAACCGTTTTGATCCAGTTGAGCTTTCAGAGTTATCAAAAATATTAGCTTCATCTAAACCTTCAACTTGCATTTTGGATCCAATCCCAACCAAATTATTTAAAGAAGCATTTCCTTTGGTTACTGCCCCCATTCTAAATATAATCAATCTATCCTTAGTAAATGGGTATGTACCACAAGATTTTAAGGTTGCTGTAATCAAACCTTCACTTAAGAAGCCTTCTCTGGATCCAGATGACCCAATGAATTATAGACCAATATCTAACCTTCCATTTTTATCCAAAGTCCTGGAGAAAATAGTGGCCATCCAAGTACGTGAGCATTTAAACACTAATGCTCTGTTTGAGGAATTTCAGTCTGGTTTTAGAGAGTATCACAGCACTGAAACTGCATTAGTAAGAGTTACAAATGATATTCTCATGGCCTCATAAGAATCTTGTGTCTGTTCTAGTCTTGTTAGATCTCAGTGCTGCCTTTGACACAGTTGATCACAATGTTCTTTTAGAAAGACTTGAACATGTTGTAGGGATCAAAGGAACAGCGCTAGGCTGTTTTAAATCCTACCTGTCTGACAGATTTCATTTTGTAAATGTACATGACAAATCTTCTTCATACTCCAGGGTTACTAGCGGAGTACCACAGGGTTCAGTGCTTGGACCAATTCTTTTTACTATATATATGCTCCCAATTGGTAAAATCATTAGAGAGCATGGGATAAACTTCCACTGTTATGCTGATGATACACAGTTGTATTTATATAACATACCAAGTGGTCAAATGTTCACCCACAAATTGATCAGAAAAAAAACCTTTCATTTGCAGACAAAGACAAAACATCTTTCCTCAAGGCCTCATGCCATACTGCTGAATCTTCACTCTAAATAAAAGTTGAACTCCTTGAAGTTCCTATGTGATTTTAAAACATATATAAGTTAGGATAATCATATGTGTTGTATGAACAAGATGTTTAAATCAAATGTTTGAATGATCTGTGCTTAAACCAATGATGGCTTTAAAATGAATATTGTTCCTGCACTGATCCATTTCAGATCTTATCTACACCAGACCAGTATGTGCTTAATTTAACAAGTCAATCTATCACTCTACTCACACACATTATAATACGACACTTATTCATGTTAGCATTGACGTTAACCTTCTCATTCCTACAAAGAGTTAACCTCTCGGAGGATCTGAAGGAAGGCGTGACGTCTGAGGTATTTTTGGTAAAGCCCTCAAACGTGTCAAATTCTGATTTGTTAAAACCACATTGTTGATAAATTTGGCAAAACAGCAATTACTTCCCGATTCATTCAGTTTCCAGCTGACTCCCGTTTCGGCCAAATCGAAGAAGCCGTTTTGAAACCATCTCTTGACATCCAGTCAAAAGCCTTTCTGCAATGCTGCAAGTAATACAGACACAAAACGGCTCTTTTAAGAGCCAACAACAGCCTGAGACACAAACAAGCATTCCAGCTTAGGTTTCTCTTTACCTTGCCTTTTATTCTACCGGCAGACAAAGGCAAGGTAAAGAGAAACCCTTTCCTATGTTTTAAAAAAGAACCAAAAATGGAATTAGAAGCCAAACAAAGAACGTACCAAAGATGTTTAAAGCATTCCAGCTTCCTGTCGTGACCTGGAGACATCTCAAGACTAGACGTGTCGTGTCAGAGCTAATCTACGGGTTCCTGGTACCTCGAGGTCCATGTTTATCCCGACCTTGTGATCCCCTGGATCTGAATGGGTATCTCCACATAAGGGTGCATAGATTCAACAGATTGTGTCGGATGGTTCTTATAAACAAATCTGTAGTTTAACACACATGCACCCAAATTCTTTCATAACCCACACTTCACAAATTCTCTGAGGCCTAGTCCACATGTAGCCGGGTTATTTAAAAAACGAATATCCGCCCCTCCAAAAACTTGCATCCACACCACCTCGTTTAAACAAACTCTGTCCACACGTACCCGGATAAATACGTTGTTATGGACATGCCAGACCTGTAGGCGGCAGTACTTCCCCCGTTCTTAACCTCGTCCTTCGTCTGTGGTCTTCCGCCAGGAGCAGTAACTCCGCTTGCAAAAACAAAAAAGCAAAAAGCGCTTGGACAATTGATAAAGCGAGCGCAGCTCTGAGGGCATCCATGCTGTCGGCTAGTGTAAACACAGGTCGCACACGTGATGTCAGCATTTTTTGTCGCGGAAAGTGACGTTGCGGACCTTAAAACTCCGGTTTTGTCCGTCCTCACGCAGACACCCAAAACGGAGAAAACGCAGATCTTCACTTTGGCCGGAGTTTTTAAAAAGATCCGTTTTTGTGTGGATGACAGGCCAAAACGTAGAAAAATATCTACATTTTGGCAGATCCCCGGCTACGTGTGGACAGGGCCTCAGATACAGGAAATCTGAACAATTTTGCTAAAACATCTAGTTCCATTACAACACACCATCGATCACATTAATCCACTTTATATCCATCATTCCATTCATATCTTGTCATGTATAATCATTAGTTTAGGAAAAAGAATTAAATTCATTTTTATAAACTATATACTGACTGAATTAATACGAAGCATGTTTATGGTCCCCGATTAAGTAAAGTAACTAGAATCTTCTGATTAAACATTCAAAAATCAATCAGGTTGATATTTCATATTTACATGGAATCATCACATATTATTGGATTATTTTAATAAATATGTAAGCAATCATCTCACGTTACATTTATCCGTTAACCCTGATGAACCTAATCGGTTGGATAGATTACAGGCTTGTCTTGAAGACGTAAAACATTGGATGACTCAAAACTTTTTGCTTTTAAATCAAAACAAGACTGAAGTTCTCATCTTTGGACCAGAAATCCAGAAAAGGAAATTGCTTAGCCAATCACCTGACCTGAATGGCATTACATTAGTCTCTGAGAACAAAGTAAGGAACCTTGATGTTATCTTTGATCAGGACATGTCATTCAAATCCCAGGTTAAACAGGTTTGTAGGATTCTTTTTCCACTTTCGGAATAGTGCTAAGATTAGAAGCATCTATTATGTCCCCGGCTTTCTAGGAGAGATGAGGAGGGGAGTAATAAAATTAGTGTGTGGATAAATAATAACAAAGTGCTGTGTCGCTTAAAAACCAAGGATTTTTTTACAAAACCAAGGGATATTTACAAAGAACCTAAAAACAATGCTATATACAAAACCAAAGGAGCAACAATCAAAAGGGGAGGAAATGAAAAGCGCCACCCCAGAAGGGGGTGGGAGGAAAACCGAGAATAATAAATATATAAATGTTCAAAAGGGGAGATCCTAAATCGAGGTCAAAATGCCGGTCCGAAGTCGAGTTACCAAAAGTCTATCCAAATACCAAAAGTGAGGAAAATACCAAAGATGAATTGAGAGCATAACCAAATATGAGCACACGAGGAGAAGAGAATAGTATAAACTCCGCCGAGTCTATACTACCCTTGGATCTTCTCCCAGAACTGAGGACTGAAAGCAGCTTTTAACAGCTGGTAAGTGATCAGCCATGATTTGTTCCAGCTGAACACCAGGTGACGGGCGAGGCAGAAGCCAATGAGGCCATCTTGTGGCCCAAAAGGGGCACAGCACGTAACACATACTCTCCAGGAGTGATGCTGAAAAACTAGTTCATGCATTTATTACATCAAGACTGGATTACTGTAATCCATTACTCTCAGGAAGTCCACAGAATGTAGTTAAAAGTCTTCAGCTTGTCCAAAATGCTGCAGCTAGAGTTCTGATGAGAATTAAAAAGAGAGATCATATCTCTCCTGTCTTAGCTTCCCTACATTGGCTACCTGTTAAATTCAGAATAGATTTTAAGATCCTTCTTCTCACATATAAAGCTCTTAATAATCAAGCTCCATCATACATCAGTGATCTGATTGTTCCATACGTTCCTAACCGAGCACTTCGCTCTCAGACTGCAGGTTTACTGGTGGTGCCCAGAATATCTAAAACAGGGGTGCCCAATCCTGGTCCTGGAGGACTGGTATCCAGCAGGTTTTGTGGTTTTTCTGCTCCAACACACTTGATTAACTGGTTGAATCACCTGTACTGCATCTCATCTGGCTCTGCAGAAGCCTGTTAATCATCTGCTGATTGAAATCAGGTGTGTTGAAGCAGAATTCAAACTAAAACGTGCTGGATCCCGGCCCTCGAGGACCAGGATTGGGCATCCCTGATCTAAAAATAGGATGGGAGGCAGATCTTTTAGTTATCAGGCTCCTCTCCTGTGGAACCAGCTCCCAGCTTTAGTCCGTGAGGCAGACACTTTGTCTACTTTTAAGAATAGGCTTAAAACATTTTTATCTGATAGGGCCTATGGTTAAAATCTGATGTTAGCCTAAATCTGGACAAGTGGGGGATTACAGGGAGGTGGAGTGTACAGTCGGTAAAGACGGCTCTCCCTTGCCCTGCCTCCAACATGCCTCCATCTAAATAGGATAGGTTATCCAGAGTTATCTCTGTAGTTATGCTGCTATAGGCTTAGACTGCTGGAGGATACACTGACCACTTTTCACACTCTACTGCTTTCTTCTACAATCTGCTCTTTAACTGTATTATTTCCTGCTATTTCAGCTGTTAACTTTATTTTCTCTGTAAGTGTTTTTCTCCCCAGAAGAAGCTACAACGATGTTCTGCTGA